AGGGAGATTGTCTCACATGCCTAGAAGAGTTCTTTGAAAGAATCAACAAGCATATGGATAACGGAAACCTAATTTATACAGTCTGCCAAGATCTCCAAGATGATCTCTGAACATACTTAAGAAAATAAAGCAACCATAGAACAAAAGAGAAGATATTAGATAAGCCATAGGTAAATAACTGAATAAGAAAATAAAAGACAAATATGGTCTACTCTTAGAGATGGAAATGGTCATTGAAGTTCTGCTGGGACACATGCTGTTCCACACATTAATAAAGAGCAACAAAAATAAAAAACGCGAGGTGACCAGAGATGTGACAGTTTGAAACTATTCCAAGTTATTTAGGATAGTCAAGGCACAGGCCAACTGTGGAGAGCTGCCAATCTCCCAAGACTAAATGAACGTTAAACCAACAGGCAAAATGCGATGTAGAAATTTAAGAGTAGATATATGCATACAGGAAAGAAAATAATCCTAAACCAGTTGGGCTCCAACTGATCGTTACCTCTCATGAATAAGATACCTTGGTTATGATTGCTTCATAAAAGCACTAGTTCAATAATTGCTTTTCAAACCACAGCCTGAACATCAGGAATGAAAAGGGAAAAAAGTCCATGTTAGACAAACAAAGGGGAGAGGGGGGAGCAGATGGAAATCACTGTTTGTTCACAACTTGATTATCATATGCAATTCTAGAACTTCACCCATTTCAAAATGAACAGAAGTAGAAAAAGTTCAGAGAAAGACAGAAAGTAGACCAATACGTATGGAATAGCTTCCATGTAAAGAATGGCTAAATAACAATCTTCAGTTTGGAAAAAAAGGTGATAGGGTTAAGATCGGACAAGGTTTATAAAAACTTTTAGTGATCTGGAGAAGCACCTGACAAGTATTAGCATGATTTGATGCCTTTAATCTGATGGCTGGATCAGAAAACAAAAAAACAAACGAGGTAATTTGCCTTTGAGCAGCAGATCTTACTGCCACAGTTTCTGAGGTGCCAAAAACATATGTTAATTCCTGACTATATAAGAGAATGGAAGAGAAATACACTGAGTGTATTTGGAATACAAACAAATTTAGAACTTAAAAATCTAAACTCACCAAAAAATGAGAAACAAATCCAGTTTCATAGAAGGCTCATCTTTTTCTGGTCCACAAGTTGTTGGAGCCTGGAAGAGCATGTGGAAAACGGTACCATATTTGCCAACCCATGCTCCCATGCACATCCCTAGGCCTGAGCCTTTAACCAGTATGGGAAATGCTGTGCACACTACTGGCTAAGCACATGAACACGGCAGAGAGGGACAACTAACCTGTGGAGTTAAAAAAAAGTGAAGACATCAGTTTGCACTTTTTCAGGGTACAGAAAACTGGACAAACTGCAATGGGATAAAGGGGACATGTAATACTGTCTTTTTCTGTACAGTAAGTTCTGAACTACAGACTGGTTCTGTGTTTGAGCAGAAGCTAACTGAAAATATACTAGACATCTCAGTGAGATTAGCCTGTCTTCCCTCCATTGCATATATATACACCTGCCTCAACCATCTTCTGGTTTTCCAGGAATTAGCATTTTACAGAAATTTACTACATTCGTGCTTCTTTAGTTATGTGATGACTTCTTGGTAGATGACCAGATTTGTCATTGATATTCCTTGTATTTGAGGGTCTTCACATTGAAAAGATTTTGTAGGAGTTAGTTCTCATATTGGTTTCTAAACAAGACACTGCTGTGGCTAGGTAAATAATACTATGGGATGCTAAAAATACTAGTTATGCTTTGAAACACCTGACATGAAGAGCTGCTAATGAAATAGAGATTTGGTCAATTTTACGAAGTTTTGATGGTCTGTCGAATAGACAGTCACTACTGATATGTGTGAAGAAAACAAACAAAAAACCCAACACAAATCAAAGCCAGAATTTATTATAAAACTTCCATTACTGACTACAATAGACTCCTTTTTCCTTCTCTTCTTCAACCAGTTACTATTTCCTGACTACCTTTCTCTTGTAGTGTATTATAAACACATTAAAATACACAGGCACAAAGTAGTAGAAAGCATGTGTGCATTATTTGAGTCAGCAGGCTCTGACCCTCAACTATATTGTTCCATCCAAGCATTGATTTCCACTCTGCCTCTCCCTACTCTTCCCAGGTACTACTTTGGCCAGTGCTATAATCCAGCCAAATAGCCACTCACCAAGTCTTCCCCTGCTTCACACATGTGAGGGTGTCACCTAACCAGAAAATACAAGGCTATAGAATTTCAGATCATTATGAAGGAGTGAAGAGCACAGAGTAAGAACATCCCAGCTTACTCCATTATCACACAGATGAGTACAGATAAGAATGTGTGAAAGGGAATAAATGCACAGAATTGATAAGTGCCTTGCTCATAAGATACCAGAACTACTTTACTGGTGATCTAATGGCTAAACAGCATACAGCCTGCTTCAAACAAACAAACAAACAAACAAACAGTTTGGTGGAGGGTTTTTGTTGGTTTTTTGTTTGGTTGGTTTTTGTTTTGTTTTTTAAAAAAAAAGAGGTATTAGTGCAGTCAAGGAAATTCCAGAACAACCACTTGGTTTTTAAGCCAGACAATTCAATCAAAACTGATAAAATTCTAGATTCCTAAACAATTGGAACAATATTATAGTCGAGCTGTACAGGCTAAGGGTGAGTCAAAGGAGAAGTTTCCATTCTCCCTCTTTTTTTACTTCCATCTCCACTCTCAGCTTTACCTCCCTCCCACCTTGACACAACTCTAGCCATTCTCAGACTTTTTGCAGCACTCAGTCCCATCAACTCCAAAACAGGGGAAGCATGTTTTTCCCCTCTGTTTAGTTTTCTGCCAGTTTAGCATGTTGAACCAGCCCAGTGAAGTGCCTGATGAGCACCAAGGTCAAGTGCAGGAAAAAGGAAGGGAACCCAGGGATGTGGAGGAAGGCAGGGAAGGAAACATTTTACTCCTCAGCCTTTTTCTCAAGGTTGGAGCAGGGAGAAAGGCAAGTGCTCCTTCTCTGAGCAGCAGGTTTTTAGATAGGCTTAAGTACAACAGCTTTTAGCTGTGGTAATATTTTAGAATTCTTCAAAGTTTTCAGAAGAATGAGTCAAGGAGAATTATTTGATTACACAGCATTAACTTAACAATTTTATACATTACAGGTTTACATACCACAAACATCCATATAATACCAGAGGCAACATTAAATATGTCATTCACCTCCCAAACCTCTGTCTCCAAGTATAGCATTCAATCTCTTAATTAAGTCAGAGCTCTCTGACTATACCTTGTTTACAAGTCAGTGCTTTCTCTTTTCAGGGTTTTCCACTCTACTCCTTATTTTACAGGCACATTAACAGGAAAGTCATACATAAATTCATCCTCTCAAGTAATACAGATCCAGAACAGTAGATAATTTAAACATATTTTGCAAATATAACTGCTAGTCCACACAAATTCTACTTAATCACATGAAGAATTAGTCTTTTTTTTTTTTTATATTACAACCCTAAAGGTTAGAAATAAGCCACTACAAGAGCGCCAGTTCCACTCTTCCCCTCACCCTCCCAAGATTTCCAAATGTTCCAAGCCTTCCAGATGCTTCTTATATACACATGGTCTAACAACTCCTGTCTAACTATGCCTCTATGTACGTTCAGTATTTTGAGATGCCATCTGATGAAACACCACACTCCACACCTTTCTGACTAGCTCTTCTACCATAAGGAAAACTGCCCAAACAGATTAATGCTGTACTGGTGTCATCCATCCAGTACAGGAAACAAACTGTTGCCACAGTTCATACTATTTTGGTTTTCCTATTCCATTTAGTTTGGAAAAAAAAAAGTGGTAGTTATTAGAACACTTGGAACACATTACCAAAGGAGATGCAACTACATGTAGTATATATCTTTTACGGGCAGGTAGAGGTTTGAGGGGAGAAAGCTCGGAGGGAAAACAACCCAACTTTGTCAGCTCACTGTTCCACTGGATCACCTTCCTCCTTAGCAGGGAATCTTTATGCAAAAAGAAATTAAAATAATGTAAATATATTAAGTTTGTCAAGTATCTGTTTTCATCTCTTTACATTCACATCCCATATCACATGGTATTGGCCTTATTTATCTGTGACCTATACCACAAAAAGCAGAAGCCACCATTATGAGGAATTGCTAGCAGTGATTCAAGCACCATACTTGGTATTGCTGCTGCAACACGCTTCAGAAAGAGGAAGTGTTAAGGGCTTCTGAGCCAAAGGAAGAAAGAGCTATTGCTTTCCTAGCAGTGCCTTATCATGCGAGCGAGAAAAGCACTCATTTCCCCACCACCGCTTGTTGAGAAATACTCATCCCGCTGCAGAAGAGGCTGCCCTGACCAGACCCCCACTCGCGATGCCCGAGCTCCACCTCAGGCTTGATTCTGCTCCCCCAGGAGGCTTCAGGGGCGAGGCCTAGCAAGGCTCCTAACACCACGCCATCAGGCAGCAAACACCTACTCAACCCAAGGCACGGTCGCTGGTGCAAAAGCACACGGCTGGACAAACACCTGGAACAAGCCAGGTTAAGACTGTACTCTTCTCCAGAGTGTGAATCTTCCCTCCTACCTCTCTCTCTAGTGAGCTCCAGCAGGACTTGGCTTTTAAACAGAGCTTCTAC